CCATCTCGAAAAACAACAAAGAACAAAACAAAACAAAAGACCCTGAGTTCAATCATCAGTAGCATGTACATAAAAGCATGATTTATTACAGAGGATCCAAGTTTAATCCTCAGGATCTATAGGGGGGGTGGGGGGGCTAAAGGCCATCTGTAACTCCATCCTATAGTATTTGATGCCCTCTTCTGGCCTTCAGGGGCATTGCATGCATGTACATGGTGTAGAGACATGCATGTAGGCAAAACAGACGCCCATATGAATAAAATATATAAATACAAATGCATCTTTTAAAAAAAAAGGAACACAGGTGAATAGCATAGCTCACACACGATTTTCACTAGTAAGGGGATTGAGACTCAAGGACCTGAGGGAAAAAATAAAGTAAATCCAGTAGAAAATAAAGGAAAGGTTGGGAAGCTGACTCAGTGGGCAAGACTGCTTGCTCTGCAAACCTGTGAGTCTGAGTTCGAATCCCCAGTGCTCACATAAACCTGGGCATGGCTGTACATGCCTACAGGTCCAGCGCTGGGGGTGGGAGGTGAATTGTGGACGTTTGCGGGCCAGTCAGCTGAGAGGAAAAGGTAAGTTTCCAGTTCATCAAGAGACCCTGTCCCGAGGCAATAAGACACAGTGATAAAGGAGGATTCCCAGCATCCCATTCTGACCCCAATAGCAGCTCACCTATGTGCTCCAACACACACGTGTTGTGGGATATCTGTACACCGTGTGAAAATGTGTTGCTGTAATTGGTGTGATAAAAAGCTGAATGGCCAATAGGTAGGTAGGATTTCTGGGGAGAGAGGGGAAGAGGGGCTGCAGAAGCATCACCAATGAGACATACAGAATGAAAGAAAGTAAAAAGCCACATGCGGATAAATAAAAGCAGATTAATTTAAATTATAAGAGCTCAGAGATTATTATAAGAGCGGAGAGAAGGCTCAATGGTTAAGAGCACTGCCTGCTCTTCCGAAGATCCTGAGTTCAATTCCCAACAGCCACACGGTGGCTCACAACCGTCTGTAATGAGATCTGGTGCCCTCTTCTGGCCTGAAGGCATGCTTGCAGGCAGAATACTGTATACACAATAAATAAGTCTTTTAAAAGAAAAGAAAACACAAAGATAAATATTTAAAAAAAAGAGCTAGTGGGAAAAGCCTAAGTTAAGGCCATGCTTTCATAATTAATAATAAGTTTCTGTGTTCTTATTTGTGAGCTGGTGGCCCAAAGAAAAATTTGACCCCCCCCCCCCATAGTTGGCTTTGTGGCTAAAAACGCTCGAAGCTTTTCCAGTGGCCCCAAGTTTGATTCCCACCACCCACGTGGTGGCTCACAACCATCTGTAACTCCAATCCCAAGGGATCCAAAGCCCTCTTCTGACTCTGAGAGCACCAGGCATGCATGGCGTGCACATATGTACAAACAGGCAAGTTAGGCTGTTTCAAAATAAGGGGAGGAGGGGAAGTGAAAATGGGTAGTTTAATGTAAACCATTATAGCTCAATAGGGCTCTTCTTTTAAAAAATATTTAATTTGTTCTTTGGCTTTTTTGAGACAGGATCTCACTATGTAGTTCTGGCTAGCCTGGAGCTTACTGTGTAGACCAGGCTGACTTCCAATTCATAGAGACACACCCTGCCTCTGCCTTCTGAGTGATGAACTAAAGGCATGTGCCACTACACTCAGTCTTTTGTTTTGTTTTGTTTTTCAAGACAGGGTTTTTCTGTGTAGCCCTGGCTATCTTAGAACTCATTTTGTAGACCAGACTGGCCTGCAACTCAGAGATCCGCCTGTTTAGGAGGCTAAAGGCTGGGATTAAAGGCATGTGCCACCACCTGGCTAAAAGATGAAAAGAATTACGTGTTTGAGTATTTCGCGTGTATGTATGTATGTATGTATGTATGTATATGTACTATTTGAGTGTAAGTACCCAAGGAGACCACAAAAGGGTGTCTGAGGTATCCGATCCCTTGGAACAGGAGTTTGTGAGCTACCATGTGGGTATGAGACCCAAATCTGAGTCCTCTGCAAGAGCAGCAAGTGTTCTTTACTGCAGAGCCTTCTCTCCAGTCGCTATTTTTATTTTTGAATTATGTGTATGCATGTGAGGAGGTGCATGTGTATGGGAGTGACTTGGAGGCCAGAGGGAATCGGATTTTTTGGAGTAAAATTATGAATGGCTGTGAGCCACCTAAAGTGAGATCCAAATTTAAGTCCTCTGAAAGAGCAGTAGGTGTTCTTACCCACTGAGTCATCTCTCCCTCCTCAATAAAGCTGTTGACAGAGAGAGAAAGAGCCAAAGAGATGGCTTATCGGGTAAGGGTGCTTGTACACAGACCAGATGACATAGCTGGATCCCTGGATCCCACGAGGTGGCAGAAGAGAATTGAGCCATGAGAGTTGTCTTCTGACTTCTGCATTCACACACATGCACACAAATAAAAAAAATATTAAAAAAACCCCAAAAACTAGGAGGGCTGGAGAGATGGCTTAGAGGCTAAGAGCACTCACTGACTGCTCTTCCAGAGGTCCTAAATTCAATTCCCAGCAACCACATGGTGGCTCATGGCCATCTGAAATGAGATCTGGTGCCCTCTTCTGGACAGCAAGCATACAGACAGACAGAACACTGTATACATAATAAATAAATAAAAATAAAATTAAATTAAAAAAAAAACAGACCTGGCAGTGGTAACACATACCTTTAATCTCAGAAGCCATACTAGTTGCCATAGAAACTGAGTGGTGCTTGCCTTTAAAACAAAACAAAACAAAACAAAAACAAAAAACTAGGAGTTGGGCTTGGTGGCGCTCACTTTTAATCCCAGCCCTTGGGAGACACAGGCAAGTGAATCTCTGAGTTCAAATGAGTTCTAGGACAGACTGAGAAGATGAGAGAGAGAGAGAGAGAGAGAGAGAGAGAGAGAGAGAGAGAGAGAGAAAAGGAAAGAGTCCCACCTCTCAGGCAATTTAGTAATAGTTATTAACATGCTAAATATGTAACCCTTCTCATCCAACAATTGTTAAGAATATACGTTGGGGGGGCTGGAGAGATGGCTCAGTGGTTAAGAGCTTTGCCTGCTCTTCCAAAGGTCCTGAGTTCAATTCCCAGCAACCACATGGTGGCTCACAACCATCTGTAATGGGGTCTGGTGCCCTCTTCTGGCCTGCAGGGATACACACAGACAGAACATTGTATACTAAATAAATAAATAAATAAAAAAAAAAAAAAAAAAGAAACCACCAAGGGATTTATTTAAAAAAAAATATACGCTGGGCATGATGATACACACCTTTAATCCCAGCATTCGGGAGGCAGAGACAGGAGGATCTCTGTGAGTTCGAGGCCAGCCTAGTCTACAAGAGCTAGTTCCAGGACAGGCTACAGAGCTACCAAGCTACAGAGAAACCCTGTCTCGAACCCCCCTCACGCCAAAAAAAACCCTGCACTCGGGAGGCAGAGGCAGGTGGATCTCTCTGAGTTTGAGGCCAGCCTGGTCTACAGAGCAAGTTCCAGGACAGGCTCCAAAGCTACAGAGAAACCCTGTCTCGAAAAACAAACAAACAAACAAATAAAAGCCATACAGTCACAAAAAGGTAGATCTGTAAACATTGTTATGGACCTGTGATATGTTAAGTGAAGAGGGGGGAGGAAGAAAATGTCTGGTTATGATAACTAAAGGTGGATTTGGTATTAATTACATTCAGTTTATTCTGCCCCGAGGATCAAAGTCCGAGGGCTTCAGAAGACCGGCGTGGTAGTTCCTGGCCCTGGATAGAGGTTGTGCAAGCTGAGAGGAGGCTGGCCCTAGCCTGGGTGGGTGTGGGGATTTCTTCTTCAAGTCTGTCTCAATCTGGACTGAGCCTAGCAGCCTGCATTTCCTTATCTAAACAGACTGTGGGTGAAAGTTAAAGTCCTAGTTATATTAATAACGTTTTCTACCTACCTCACTAGGGTGAGAAGGTGACTTCTCTGAGCACTGCTGGAGCTGGGCTTTGAGGCTCTTCCAAGTTTCCTTCCTTCCTTCCTTCCTTCCTTCCTTCCTTCCTTCCTTCCTTCCTTCCTTCTTCCCTCCCTCCCTCTCTTCCTTCCTTCATTTCTTCCTTCCTTCCTTCCTTCTAGGGAATCTAGCAGATAAAAACTGTAGTCACAAAGCTAGCCTTTCAGTTAAAGGCCAATGACAAGCAAGTTGCTTAGCTTTGCTGCGTTCTTATCCAATTGCAGAAGAGATATTTGAATTCACTTCACGAAATTTCAGATACCCAAGAACTTAGGCAGTGAGCATTTGATAAACATTAATTAAATTTCACATAAACCTGGGCTTACAGTGAGATCTTAGGAACCCACATAGCTTCTTCATTAGTCTTAATCTTTAGGGACTGAGTATTGGACAGATATTATTACTTGAATGGCCAATTAGTAGCTAATTAGAACACTGGAACTCCCTGGTCAGGTGCTGCCTAGAAACCCTCTTGAGAATGAAACAGTAAATCCAAGCAGTGGGGGTGGCTTATGGTGGCACAACCAGAAACCCAGCCCTAGGCAGGCCCAGGTAGAACAAACATGAGTCTGACTGCATCCTTGGCTCTGTAGTAAGCTTCTGTCTAAAGGAAGGAAAGAAGGGAGGCAAAGAAAATCTAGTTTGTAATTCCTATTTATCAAAGAAATGCTTCACTGAAAATCCCCACAGTGGGGCTGGGGAATGTACGTCAGTAGTAATAGTGTATGCTCTTCTAAGAAATACAGTTGAATGGGGTGAGGATAGAATGCTATCAGTCTTATAAATTAGATTACCAAATACATAGTTAGCTATCTGCTGTGATTTAAATACAGTTAGCCTGCTCGAACCTAAAGTGTATGTTAACGAGTCAGTCTGACCTCTTTTGTTTAGAGGTAAAGTGTTTAGAAATGATTAAGCTTACGTAACTTCATTAGGGTGGAGTACTGAGTCTTGGTGACTTTATAAGAGGAACAGTAGCAAGGACAGCATGCCAAGTCATGCTCTATGCCACCATGGGACTGCCAGGAAAAAGGCCATCTTCTGTGAAGAGATCCATCAAGGAGAGACTCTTGCAGGTATGTGCACCAAAGCTGTACCCTTTCCTTTACAATTTTAACCTGTTTCTGATATAACCCGAGAGCAATTTCATTTTTTTTTCTTTTGAGATACTGTTTCACTGTGTAACTCTAACAAGCCTAGAACTCACCATATAGACTAGGCCAGCCTTGAACTCATAGAGATCCACCTGCTTCTGCTTCCTGAGTGCTGGGTTTAAAGGCATTTGCCACCATCCCAGCCACAATCTCCTTCCACCTGAAGAATCTGTGTATTCCACATTCACTGAGTACTAGTTGCTTATAGACCATGTGCTGGATGTTGAGATGCAGAGGTACAGTTGTTGCCCTATCTTACCTTTTTTGTTTTTGATTTTTCGAAACAGGGTATCTTTGGAGCCTGTCTTGGAACTTACTTTGTAGACTAGGCTGACCTTGAACTCACAAAGATCTGCTGGCTTCTGCCTCCTGAGTGCTGGATTAAAGGTGAGCACCTCGCTGGGCAGTGGTGGCACACGCCTTTAATCCCAGCACTTGGGAGGCAGAGGCAGGCGGATCTCTGTGAGTTCTAGGCCAGCCTGGTCTACAAGAGCTAGTGCCAGGACAGGCTCCAGAGCTATGGAGAAACCCTGTCTCGAAAAACTAAAAAAAAAAAAAAAGGTGAGCACCAACACCTGGCTGCTGCTGCTGCTGCTGCTGCTGCTTCTTCTTCTTCTTCTTCTTCTTCTTCTTCTTCTTCTTCTTCTTCTTCTTCTTCTTCTTCTTCTTCTTCTTCTTCTACTACTACTACTACTACTCCTCCTCCTCCTCCTCCTCCTTCTCCTTCTTCTTCTTTTAATTAATTAATTAATTTATTTATTTTTCTGCTTTTTTCAAGACAGGGTTTCTCTGTAGCTTTGTTTTTTTTTGTTTGTTTGTTTTCAAGACAGGGTTTCTCTGTGGTTTTGGAGTCTCTGTAGCTTTGGAGGCCGTCCTGCAACTAGCTCTTGTAGATGTAAGACTTTAAGACAATTCTGAAGCCATTTTTGGCAATTCTGAATCCTCTCAGCCTCTATGCCATAGTGCTTCCCCTCCTCCCCTGGGAACCAAGGACCTAACAGCTACACTCGCACGTACTCAGTTCCTGAACAATTACCCATATACGTATGCTTTGGTTCTGTCCCCTGGGAAACGAGGTCAAAATGACCTCTTACCTCATCTGATCTGGCAACAGCTCTCCAGTCAATTATTGGTAATAGCCCTTTCGAATAAGCCAATCAGAATAGTCAAAGAACAACCCCCCTTGCTTCTGTAGCCCCTTTAAAAGTAGACTGTACCCACTATTCGAGGTCCCTTGGCTTCCCGAATGCTGGGGGACCCTGTCATGACAGAATTAATAAATTCCTCATGCTTTTGCATCGGCTGTGGTGTGTGGTCTCTGGGGGCGACTCCTTCTCCGTGTTTGGACGCCAGAGTCCAACATAGACCAGGCTGGCCTCGAATTCACAGAGATCCGCTTGCCTCTGCCTCCCAAGTGCTGAGATTAAGGGCGTGTGCCACCACTGCCTTTTAATAATTTATTTATTTGTATGTTATGTACATTGGCATTTTGCCCACATATATGTCTGTGTGAGGGTGTCAGATCCATTGAAACAGGAGTTATAGACAGTTGTGAACTGCCATGTAAATGTTGGGAATTGAACCCTGGGCCTCTGGAAGAGCAGCCAGTACTCTTAACCACTGAGCCATCTCTCCAGCCCCTGTTTAAATTTTTTATTATTGCATTTATTTATTTGTGTGTGTTTGTGTCAGAAGGCATGGCACACACATGGAGGCCCAAGGACAACTTTTGGGAGTCAGTTCTCTTTTCCTACCACGCAGGCTCCAGGGGTTGAACTCAGGTTGTCAGACTTGGCTGCAGGTGTCTTCCCTTGAGCCACCCCTCCAGCCTCCAACAAGTTTCTTTTCCAAGCCACGGAGTACTTACAATCCCGGTGACCTTTGTTTAATCAGATAACAATATACTGTAGAAAGAGAAAAGGAAGTAATTAACAGTTAGAGGAATCTGTGATAAGTGCTCTGTCCATGACGGAAATATACACAGGAACAATGAACGCGGAAAAGGCACCCAAAAAATAAAAAATGACTGGGAAAGGAGGAGCTGTTAGGAAACTTCTCAGTTGCAGAGAATTGCAAGAACACTTTATAGTGAGAGTAGCATAAGGTATGCTTGAGGGAGGAGCGTGGGGGGTCAGAAGGTAAAGGGTCTTGTGTATCGTGTTAGGAAGGAGGCTGAACTTGATGCCAAGGCCAAGTCAGAGGCGGCAGCAGGGATTTGAAAACCATGTCACATGTGTGTGGATGGGGCAATAGTATGTTTAAATTTAGCTTCAATGATATGAAGTGGTTTTGTGTGTGTGTGTGTTGTTGTTGTTGTTGCTACTATTGTTACTTCACAACTAGAGAGGGCCAGCATTTCCTTGCCCATGAACCATGTATGATGAGCCTTGGCTGGCCTAGAACTTGCTGTTTCAGCCAGACTGGCCTGGAACTCACAGAGATGGCCATCCTTTGCCTCCTGAGTGCTGGGATTAAAGATGTGCACCACAATGCCTGGGTGATGATGAGGTTTAGGGGCAGATTACCAGACCTTTCCTGTCCTCTCTTGTCAGCTGGTGACCCATAAGAGCTGACTCTGCTACACACACTTTCTGGTTCTGCAGGTCTCAGATCATTGTCCATTACTCAGCCTTGTCCATCCCTAGGGGAAAGTGGAAGGAGAGGATGCATAGAAGCCTCTAGAACTACCACCTGCAGTCTGCCAAGCGAACATGACTAAGTGCTTTAAGGGAGGTGAGATCCTGCGTGTGGTTAGAGGTGTGGTGGGGCTAATAATGAATCACTGGGGCTTCTTACTCAGAGGTAAAAAGCCTCCTTTCCCAACCAGAGGCTTTCTCAGTCTTTTGTGACTCCCCTCCCCCCACCTCCAGGCACCTCTGTCAAATGGCAAAGCAGCTACGACTTTGTTTTGCTTGTTTGTTTGAGAGAAAACTCTGTAGACCAGGCTGGCCTCGAACTCACAGAGATCCACCTACCTCTGCCTCCCAAGTGCTGGGACTAAAGGTGTGCACCACCACCAGGCTATCACCACTCTCTTAATTGCAATGTTTTGGCAAGAAAGGCCCCCTTTCTCAGGAAGTTTTGTCCAAGACAAAAGGCTAGAAATACAGGTGCATAAAAGGACATCTTCCCCCTGCTTCTTGATGACAAAACTAAGCCTTCCAATGAGGTCATATGAATTGGAGATAGGACAGGCTAGGAGTCACCAGCCACTTATTTCACTTTCTCCAGTTCAGTGATTCTCTGCTAAGATGATTCTGTCACCTACAGGACAGCGGGCAAGGTACGCAGGGCTATGTGCAAGCAAGCAAGGGGAGAGCAGGTATGCTACGAGAATTTAGAGGGCAGAGGCCAAGTGTTACTAAATGTCTTATTATGCACAGGATAGGCTCCAACCCCATAATAAGGAGTTATTTAGACACAAGTGTCCTAGATTGAGAAATAAGAGAAAAAACTTTTTTCTATCTTTTTTTTTAATAAAGATATGGTTTTGAAACCTGAGATCACAGATGAAATTTAATATCATTTTTAAAATTAGATTCCTGATTGGAGATTTAACTCAGTGGTAGAGCACTTGCCTAGCAAGAACAAGGTCCGGGGTTCGGTCCTCAGCTATAAAAAGGAGACCTCATAGTAGTCTTGGCTAACCTGGAGCTCACTACATAAGCCAAGCTGGTCTCAAACTTGGACTAATCATCCTGCTTGCTCTGTTTCACCCCTGCCCCTGAGTGCTGGGATCCTGGATGTGCTGCATGCCCAGCTTTAACATAAACGTATTCTGAATCACAATGATGACTTCATAACAGAGATCTGGTTTCCATGATTTGGAAATCATGTGGTCTGGTTTCCATGCTTTTCTTTTGTATGTGTTGTTGCAATTAAATAAGGCATTTAACTTTAATAGCCTATAAGCTTAATTTTAATATTTTATATGTTTGGGGTAGGTTGTCATTAGGTTAGCAAAGCTTAATATAAAAGATGATTGTTGATTTGACTTTTGCTTTATACTGATTTGTCGAACATTAATGGAGCTGCCTTGCCTGTTATACTTAGTTAACTATGAAGAAGGAACAATGACTTTTCATGAGTCAGATAACTGTCTCTCATAACAAATTAGGCCCAAGGCAACTACTGACAAAGAACACTATGATCAAAGATTCTATGCTTCTTTATAGAGGAAAAAAAATGGTAGAATTGAGTCACCATCCAAGGGTGTAGTCAAGACAGGCACATGCAATTCCAAGGAGCCCTACTCCAGAAGTCAGGACCATCTCCATACAGAGCCTTGCTTCCAGGAAGCTTAACTTGTATGTTTCCACTTGCATTTCTACCCTGAATTTTGTGGGTTTGTTTTTTATTTTTTATTTTATTTATTTTGTTTTTTTGAAATAGGTTTTCTCTGTGTAACAGCCTTGGCTGTCCTGGGACTAGCTTTGTAGACCAGGCTGGCCTCAACTCACAGAGATTCACCTGCCTCTGACTCCCAAGTGCTGGGATTAAAGGCACACGCCACCACACCCACCATGTGGTTTTGCTTTGTTTTGTTTTTAAAGAAGCCATATTCAGGGGCTGGAAAGATGGTTCAGTAATTAAGGGCACTCATTCTTCCAGAGGACCTGAATTCAGTTCCAAGTAACCACAAGATGGCTCACAACTAACTGTCTATAACTCCACTTCCTGTAGACTCAAAACTTCTGGCCTCCTCGAGCACCTAGAATTTTTGTGGCACACATACATACATGTAAGCAATACTCGTGTATACAGTTAAATAAAACTAAATAAATCTTTTTAAAAGTTTTCCGAAAAAATCTGGCCGAGCTGTGGCGTTGCACACCTTTAGTCCCAACACTGAGAAGGCAGAGGCAGAAGGATATCTGAGTTTGAGGTTAGCCCGGTCTACAGAGCGAGTTCCAGGGCATCCAGGTCTACACAGAGAAACCTTGTTTCCAAAAAGAAAAAACAAAACAAACAAACAAACAAACAAAAAAAACAAGACAAAATCAATTGCAAAAAGGCCATATTTACTTAAATTGGGCTAAGAAAAAACACTTTTTAGTCATTATTAATTTTAATTATGTGTATCAATGTGTACATGTGCACGTGTATATGCACCTGTGGAGGTCAGAGGCATTGCATGCTCTGGAGCTGGGAAAAGAACTCAGGTCCTGTGCAAGAACAGTAAGTGCTCTTAACTACTGAGTCAACTTGCCAGTCCCCACATTAATTCTTTCCATTCATGAACATGATACATCTTTACTTATCTAGATGTTCTTTAAATTAGGATTTTATCTTAGCTTCTTTTTTAAAAATGTTTATTTTGAGACAGGGCCTCAGTCGTGTTTGCCTGCTTGCCTGCCTGCTATGGCGTGCATGTGGAGATCAGAGGATAGCTTAAGGGAGAAGTTCTATCCATCTACTTCCTGGGTTCTGGGACTTAGACTGAAGCTATAGGCTTGGCAGCAAGTGCATTTATCCACTGAGCTTTCTTGCTGACCCAGATGGTGATTTCCTTTCTTTCTTTCTTTCTTTCTTTCTTTCTTTCTTTCTTTCTTTCTTTCTTTCTTTCTTTCCTTCTCAATATTTTTTTAAAAAATTATTTTATGTGTATGAGTGTTTTCCTTGCACACACAAGCCTAGTGCCCTTGTGTGACAGACCAGAGGCTGTCAAGCCTCTGGAACTGAAGTATGGGCTGTGGGTGGAGCTTGTCCTATAGCTTCTGCCTAGCGCAGGGAGATCCAAGGTCCGATCTGTAGCATCAAAATATTAAACTAGAAGAAGTGTGAAGCCTGTCACGATAACTCAGCAGTAATCTTACCACTTTGGAGGCTGAGTCAGGGGAACTGCCTGAGTTCCAGTCAGTCTAGCCTCTACAGTGAGACTCAGTTTCAAAAGCAATGGCTAGTAGATATTCAGCAGGTAAAGGAGCCGATGTCAAGCCTGATGACCTGACTTCCAAGCCTAGGAACCACAAGGCAGAGGGAGAACACTGAAGCCTAGACTGTCTGCTGGTTCACTCTGCTCTCTCTCATAAGAGAGAAATGAGCAGTGGCAACTGCTCCTCTTCAGGGTGAGAAGGGAAAACAAGGTAGCCAGGGTCAGGAGAGGCGTTCCAATGGGTAAAGGTGCTTGCTGTATTAACATGAAGATGAGTCTGGATTCCAGCACCACTGGTGAGGGCCAAGGGAGGAGCCTGAGATAGCTGCAAGATATGTCTATAAGCCAGTGATGTGTGGGCAGAGACCAGAGCATCTCCACCAGCTCTGCTTCAGGTTCTGTGCTTTTTTTTTTTTTTTTTTCTTTTTTATAAAGACATAACACTCAGGGCTGGAGAGATGGCTCAGTGGTTAAGAGCATTGCCTGCTTTTCCAAAGGTCCTGAGTTCAATTCCCAGCAACCACATGGTGGCTCACAACCATCTGTAATGAGGTCTGGTGCCCTCTTCTGGCCTGCAGGCATACACACAGGAAGAATATTGTATAATAAATAAATAAATAAATAAATAAATATTAGAAGAAAAAATCTAAAAAAAAAAAGACAAATGAAAAATGTCAAAAAAAAATATGTCTAAGCCAGAAGCTCAGGCAGCATGACACAGCACTTCCCCATTTCTACACTGGTCCCAGGGCCCTGGGAAGTAATGGGGATTACCGCCTCCACTAACTGGAAATGTATAATGCGAAATAGCTGGTCAACCTCATGCTGAGAAGGAAAAAAAAAAATCACTGCTGTTGTAAGGGATGATAAATACCCCAAATTGGAAATATTCAGCTAGCATGACATAGCATTTCTCTTACTTCTTGCCCTATTATGTTAGTAATAAGAGTCAAGAGAGGGGCCAGGGATAGGGGTACATGCCTTTAATGCCAGCGGTGGGGGGCAGGGGCAGGGGCAGGGGCAGGAGAATCTTTGTGGATTTGAGGCCAGCATAGTCTACAAAGCAAGTTCCAGGATAGCAAGGACAACACTGAGAGACCTTGTCTCAAATAAAAAAAAAAAAAAAAAAAAAGGAAAAAGAAAAAGAAAGAGTAGAAGAGGGACCCAATACCCCAATACTATTTATTAAGAGCTCAGAGTTCCCATTTTTATATCACATTTTAGAGACACAAATCCCACCCTCTGGAACAGGGGTTCTCAACCTGTGGGTCGAGACCCGTTGAGTTAAAGGACCCTTTTCACAGGGGTCCCCTAAGACCGTCAGAGAATACAGATATTTACATTATGAGTCATAACAGTAGCAAACTTACAGAGGTGAAGTCACAATGAAGATCGCTTTATGGCGGGGGTCAGCACAGCATGAGGAACGAACTGCAGGAAAGCGTGGCAGCTAGGGAGGTTGAGAACCACTGCTAGAAAGTCATGCTAGCAGAGGAGGCGAATGTGCAAACAAAACTGAAGGGCTGTATTTTTTTTCGTGGCTGTCCAGGTTATTGTTTAGGTACAATGGTCAGTTCAAGGGGCAAATGAGAGTTAGAAACACTGTTAGAGGGATTGCCAGAGTCAGGGGCAGCTTTACAGGAAGTAATGCTTATCTGTCGTGAAGGGGAATTAGTTTCCTGGTGTGCACAAACAGACTAGGTGGTTCCGGGTTTTCAGCGAGGAAGATGGAGAAGGTTCAGTAGAAATAACAGTTAACATCTCTAGAAACTAGTAATAGTAAGAACTAAGTAATAACAGCCAGGTTTCCCAATAATGCTAGCACTCAGGAGGTGGAGGCAGGAGGATTATGAATCCAGCCTGGACTACTAAAGGAGATATTTGTCTCAAAAACTAAAACCTACCACCATAGCAAACTCAGGTATTGTTCTAATGAACATTAATTATTTCCACTAAGATACTAGAATTAACCGGACATAGTGGCACACACTTTTAATCCCAGCACTCAGGATGCAGAAGCAGCAGGTGAATGGATCTCGGAGTTCGAGGTCAGCCTTGATTACAGTGTAAGTTCCAGGACAGCCAGGGCTACAGAAGGAAACCCTGCCTTGAACTGCCCCCTTCCAAAAATATATTAGAATTATTCCATTTTATAGGCAAGAAAAGACAAGGCTTAATGGGATTACATTTTTTATGAAAGATCACATATAAGGAAGTGACTTTTAAATTTTTTTTTTTTTTTTTTGAGATAGGGTTTCTAGCTGTTCTGGAATTCTCTCTGTAGACTAGACTGGTCTGGATCTCAGAGATCCACCTGCCTCTGGTCCCCCAGAGGAACAATCACTGGAACAGTGACTTTTAACTCAGGAAATTAACCACAGAGCCCCAATTTTTAAAACCACAAATCAGATTAGTGACAAGATCAGATTTATAAAGATTTAAGAGGGTGGAAAAAAGGGTATGCGAGACAGAGCAGCAGCGAAGTCATCAGAGACCCATAGAGTAGTCTTCCTCCTTAGGTGGTGTGGGTCACTGAGAACCAGACAAGGTTTTCTTTTTTTTAAAAATGATTTATTTCTTTTTATTTCATGTGTATTGGTGTTTTGCCTGCGTGCATATTTGTGTGAAGATGTTGGATCCACTGGAACTGGACTTAACTGACAGTTGTGAGCTGCCATGTGGGTGCTGGGAAATTGAACCCCGGTCCTCTGGAAGAGCAGCCAGTGCTTTTAACTGCTGAGCCATCTCTCCAGTCCTAGATCAGGGTTTTCGAGGCCGGGAAGCAATTGGGAACTACTGTGGTGCACCGTTCCCCGAATACGGTGTAATTAGACGTGGGCTTCCGTGAGCAGATTGGGAGACCCTTATGCACAACACATAGGGGCCCTGGGAATAAAGAGCGGCGAGGTTTCTCAGATACCCCCGATAAAAAGCGATGCCTCAAAGGGAAGTCCTTTCCCACCTCTGTGAACAGCTGCTGCGAAAAGCTCGAATTGAGACCCCCCCCCCAACTTCCAGGGAAAGCGCTGATTCATTCCGTCAGGGCGGCCAGGGCGGGGCGGGGCTCAGCCAGATGCCCCCCTCCTCCCGCACCCCCGGCCCGCTCCGAGTCTCGCGATAACTTTGTGGGCTATAAAAGCTGCGCCCCGCGCGCGTCTCGGGCGTCGTCTTCCTTCCTTTGCGTAGCTGTTTCTTTCTCTGAGACCTGTGACTCGGCCCTGGTGAGTGTACGGGTATCGCGGCCGCGAAACGAGGCTCGCGCCTCACAGCACCGGTTCTTTCTGCCCCAGGCCGGTCCGGGCTCTGCAGAGGCGGTCACGGGCTGAGGCAGCCGGGTGAGGCCTGGTGCTACGAGTGCTCGGACGCTGCTCGCATTCTTCACGTGGCCCTTAGCTCCCGGACCTGTTGGAACCTGAGGCTAACGTTGATTTTTTTTTTCCGCCTCTCCGGGCTTTCTGATAGCGTAGATTGACGCGGTGGGGACGGGTACTTGCCGGAGTCTTCTCGACTAAGCTCCCTTCGCGCGCTCCGCTTGTGCCGCGCTGTTTCCTGAAGTTCTGGGGTGGGTGAGTGGCAGGAACCTCAGGTGAGGTTGGGGCGTGACCGTCTCGGGCGTTTTGGACCGATTCCTCTGCAGAGGCTTCGCAGCGGCCAGAATTTAATTTTCTGGGATTGGTTGGTCTTTGGAGTGCCAGGCCATCTTGCAAAGCAAGTTTGATAAGATGATGTAGCGCACTAGTTGCTGCATGCCCTTGAAAAGAACTTTGGTAAGAAAAAAAGTTTTGTTTAAAAGTTTGCGATGGACGACGCACCTAGCCTTTATTTTGGTTATTGGAGTTATGAACCAAGAAGTTTGGAACTTGCAGCATTCAGACTTGAGTGTTTTAAGTTTTGTTTTAGATTGCTGTTTTCATTATGTGTGGCCGTCTTTGGGTACGTGCGTGGGAGCGCAGGTGCTCGAGGGTAGATGTGTGAGACCCTCTCTGTAGCTTTACAGGTGCTGTCCACCACCCGACGTGGGTGCTGGAAACCGAATCAGGGTTCTCTGCAAAGAGCAGTGCAGGCTCTTAACCGTTGAGCCATCTCTCCAAATTGCCTAACGGTGTAAATCTTAAGAATCTATCTTGGTATTGATCTGGATACATAGCAGAAATCGTTTTCTAACAATACTTGGATTTTTTTTTTTTAAAGATAGGGTTTTCTTTAGGTTTGTCCTCTAATGTGGCTAGCCTTGAACTCTCTGATCCTTCAGGTTTTACTACCCAAGTGTTGGGGATTACACTTCCTATCCCGAAACATGTATGTGTGTGGGCTCTGGTGTTAAGACAACCTGTAGAAGTGAGTTCTTGTTCCATTTTATGCAGATTGAGGGTATTAAACTAAGGTCATGAGGTAGCAGGTGCCTTAACATAGCCTCTCTGATCTAGAAACTTTGAGGCAAGTTTTTATCAGTTTTTTCTCAGTATCCTCCTGCCTCAGCATCCAGAGTGCTGGAATTATTCCCACTGTCCCTGGTAGAAACCTAAAAAAAACTTAAGATAAGGTCTCTATTAACCTAGGTTGGCCTCAAATAAGTTATGCAGAAAGAACTGCTTAATAAACACAACACCTAATGTTTTGAAATAAATACCAATGTCCTGGCATTGTTTTGCTTGGATTCTTCTTGTGTCTGTTCCAATTCTTTCTTGCTTCTTTCTAATGCATATGCAAAAACTGGTTCAGAAAGGGTGTTAGAACTGACTTATTTAGACACTGTGGAGCTTTTTGTAATGGAAAACAAAGGCTAACATTCAGTCTTGTTTTACCCTGGAGTTGGAGCTTTTGGGTTGTGACTAACATAAAACAATATATTCAAGGCCATGGGACAGTCCCTTGGTTGAACTACAGTTAAGTGCCTTGGTGATGAAAGCTGTTGGTTATTTAGAAAAACCAGGCTTATTTCAATTTTTTTTGTTGTTGTTGCCTTTTTCAGCTGATAGCAAGATGTCTTCAGGAAATGCAAAAATTGGGCATCCTGCCCCCAACTTCAAAGCCACAGCCGTTATGCCAGATGGCCAATTCAAAGATATCAGCCTAAGTGATTACAAAGGTAAGAATTGATTACTTTGGGTAAGAGGCCGCTTCACGTGTCTCCATGCTGAAGTGAAGTCATGGCTGGGACAGTGATTACTAGGTAGTTTGCCTAGGCGTAAGCCTCTTAATATTTGCTTGATTATCTTTTAAGTGGTGCTTCTATTATTGGAAAGATTTTTTTCTATATGTAGCTCTCTGTCCTGGAACTTACTACATAGATCAGGCTGGCCTTGAACTCACAGGGATCCTCCTGTTTCTGTCTCCTTTATACTAGGATTAAAGGCAAGCACCACTGTGCCCTCCTTTGATTCTTTTTGTTTGCTTGTTTGAGACAGGGTCTCACTATCCCCTGGCTGGCCTGGACCTTCATATGTAGACCAGGGTGGCATCAAAATTCCAGAGATCTGCCGGCCTCTGTCCATTAAAAGTGTCTGGCATCAATGCTTGGCCTTGTCCTTCTCCCCTTCCTCTTCTTTTAAATTGGAAAACTTTTAGGATGTGTTTTATTTTTATGTGTATGGGTGAATAGTTTTCCTATGCACCATGTGCTTACAAATAGGAAGGTGTTGGATCCCCTGGGGTTGTGAGCCCCCACATCTGTATTAGAGCCTCTGGAAGAACAGTCATGTGATAACAGCTAAGTAGTGCACCCCCCCCCCCCCCCCGTTTCTCTGTGGCTTTGGAACCTGTCCTGGAACTAGCTCTTATGAACAGGCTAGCCTTGAACTCACATTATAGTCCCACTCATCTCTTGTTTTTTTTTTTAATATTTATTTATTATGTATACATTATTCTTCCTGTGTGTATGCCTGCAGGCCAGAAGAGGGCACCAGACCTCATTACAGATGGTTGTGAGCCACCATGTGGTTGCTGGGAATTGAACTCAGGACCTTTGGAAAAGCAGGCAATGCTCTTAACCACTGAGCCATCTCTCCAGCCCTCATCTCTTGTTTTAAGAAAACTTGAGTATATTTAGTCTTAAATTCAAGTCTTTGGAGCTGTGGCTTTGCTTCTGCACACAGAAAAAAGTTGATAGCTGCAATTAATTTTGTTTTGCCATACTTTCATACTGCATACAGCAGGTTCTTTGCCAAACTTTCATACAGCAGGTTCTGCTAATGTTCTACCTTCTCTCCCTTTTCAAAAAATTGACCTCCTAGCTGGGTGTAGTGGTGCATCAAGTGGACTTCTGGATTTCAGGCCAGCCAAAGATGCATAGTTGCATAGTGAGACCCCGTCTCAAAAAGTTAAAAAAGTAAAGCATAAATTGACCACCTTAATTATTTTTTAAAGGTGTATATATTTTTATGTGCGTGAATGTTTTGCCTGTATGTATTTATGTACTCTGCTTGTGTGCACAGGTTTTGGAACTCCTAGAATTGTAGTTACAGATGGTTGTGAGTTGCCGCGTGGCTGCTTGGGTCCCAGCTAGAGTCGTTTGCAAGAGCAGCACGAGTACCGGAACTGCTGAGCTTCAGTTCCCATCCTCCTCCTGCGATCTCAGTAGCTAGGTCTTTTGGGACCATTGAGAGCATTTGATTCCTTAGGTGTAAGCTTCAAACTGGTGTTGAATGTACCTTCTTAGTGGTCTGTGAGTTTCTGGAGATAGCTTTGGGTAAACTATCCAGTTAAATCTACTGCTATCTTTCTTTGTTGTTGATGTGTGAACAGTTACTGTGGGCCCTATGAAAAAGATTTACAGCAAACAGTCTAAAACGCACCTCTAGGGAGGTGACCCTGGCACATGGTCTAGGGAGTAGTTGCTCTCTGCCCTGTAGGGCTTGGTCTACTGAGGCTTCAAAGTGCTTGTTAAGCAAAGCCACAGAGAGATTGCTTAGATGAGTCAGGGACTGCTTGTTTTGACTTTCAGACATAGTTGCTACCAGAAAATAACGAGGATATGTGGAAATGTTCCAGTTGTTCAGCCATTAGAAGTGATGAGAGGCTTCTGGCCCATTAGAAGATTTACTTTAGTGAGAATCTGAGTTACTAAAGTAGAATTGGAGCTAGAAATCCTGTTATCTACCAGTACTGTGGGTACTTTTGGTTGTAAAATTTTTCTAGTCATGTCCTGTTGGGCTTGTTAGGAACATATTTGTTTTAATTCATGAAATTACTTAAACATTACCCAGGAAGGCTGGGAACAGATTCACCAGGTAAAAGTGCTTGCTGCACAAACCTGAGGACTCAAATTTATTTTAATTTATGGAGCCTACATAAAAAATAGGGTTTGCTGAGTGATGGTGCACGTCTTTAATCCCAGCATTCTAAAGGCAGAGGCAGCAGATCTCTGTATGTTCAAGGTCAGCCTGATCTGCAGAGCTAGTTCCAGGACAGCCAGGGCTGTTACACAGAGAAACCCTGTCTCCAAAATCCACTTAAAAAAAAAAAAAGGATTCATTGATTGGATTCTATAATCCCACTAGTCCTATTCAAGATAGATGGAGCTAACTAGTCTAGTACCACAGCAGAAACAAGAAACCTTGCTCCTAACAGGATGGAAAGGGAGAAAATTACCCATGGTATTGCTTAATTATCCTTCCATTATTGCATAAAGGCTCTGACTACTTTCTGTCTGTGTTGTTGGCTTGCCTTTCCTTATCTATTTTTTATTAAATTTAATTGTGTGTGGGTGTTTTATCTGCACATATGTCTATATCATACATGTATATCTGGTGCTAGAAGAGGCCAGATGAGTGTCTTGGATCCCCTGGTAATGATATTACAGGCATTTGTGCGCTGGGAATTAAGTCTGGGACCTCTTGAAGAGCAGACAGTTCTTAACTGCTAGATGACCGCAAACTCTTAATTCTCCTGTCCTTCAATTTCCACCCCCAACTTTTGTTGTTGTTTTGATTTTGCTTTTTGAGATGGTGGTTTTTTTTTTTTTTTTTGGAGTGTCAGGTCAGCTCCAGGAAACATAGTAAGTCAGTCTCAAAAACAACCACTTACCCCAAAACACACACACACACACACACACACACACACACACACACACACACACACACACACACGGTAGCTCCCTCTGCCTGTAATCCTGCTTTAATAAGTTTCAAGATAAGCCGGTCTACAGAAGGAGACCCTATGTCAAAAATAAAACAATTGCCTGGTGGTGATGTCACATGCCTTTAATCCCAGCAATCTGGAGGAAAAATGAATTCCTGTGAGTTCAAGACAAGCCTAGTATACAGAGCAAGTTCCATGGCAGGCTCCAAAGCTACACAGAGAAACCCTGTGAGAGATAAAGAGAGAGAGAAAAAAACTCAGTTTCAAAGCTAACCTCTTGATTACTTTTTTTTTCCTCCCCAGGAAAATATGTCGTATTCTTCTTTTACCCTCTGGATTTTACTTTTGTGTGCCCCACTGAGATCATTGCTTTCAGTGATAGGGCAGAAGAATTTAAGAAACTGAACTGCCAAGTGATTGGAGCTTCTGTGGATTCTCACTTCTGTCATCTGGCATGGTAAAGTTTTTGTCCCATTTGGCATGTTTGGAATTTTTTGTTTTCTGTTTTTGTTTTTGAGTCAGGGTTAATATGTAACTCAGGCCGGCTTTCTTTTAGTTTGTAGTATCTCCAGCCTTAGCCTCATGAGTAGGTGGGATTACAGGAGTAGACCACAACATGTTGTGGATTTCTTGAACAAATTTAGAGATTTGGCAGTAGAGTTAAGTGTTGGCTTCTGGGCTCCAACTCCTTTCTACTGTCTAGCAGCAGAGGCAAAGCAGCTTGAGTTGCTGTTGTCTAATATACACTCTTAAGTGTTGTCAAGCTATTCATTTTACTGTTGGAAAAGTTTTGGGGGAAAGGTATCTGAAAGGGGAGGGATAGGTCCAGTTAATATTCCTGCTTTCACAAGGTTTGAGTGAATGGAGTCTAAGAATGTCTCTTGCTATAGGGTTAATACACCCAAGAAACAAGGAGGATTGGGACCTATGAACATTCCTTTGGTATCAGATCCCAAGCGCAGTATTGCTCAGGATTATGGAGTCTTAAAGGCTGATGAAGGTATCTCTTTCAGGTATGTACTTTGTTTTTGTTTTTTTTTTTTTCTTTTTGGTTTTTCGAAACAGGGTTTCTCTGTCATATACCTAAGAGCCATTCAATTCTTCGTGCCAGATACTATGTTAACTTTTATACATTATCTTGTTTAATATTTATAAAAATCTTGTAAGTAGTTATACTTCCTTTTTTTTTTTTAAATTTTTGTGTGTGTAAGTGTATACCACACGTGTGGATACCCTAAGGAGGACAGGAGAGTGTGTCAGATCCCCTGGAGCTGGAGTTATAGGCAGTTAGTTGTAAACAACCTGACATGGATGCTGGGATCAAACTTGTTTGGCCACTGAGCCATATCTCCAGTCCCCAGACTTTGGGAAGCAGAGGCAGTCAGATCTCTGAGTTTGAGGCCAACCTGCTCTCCAAAGTGAGTGCAGGTCAGTCAGGGCTATACAGAGAAATTCTATTTTGAACCGCCCCTCCATAACAACACCCCCCCCCCCAAAGGAAATAATGTGTGCATATTTGTGTCTGCCACCTGTGTTCACTGGATCATCTGGAACTATAATGGTTTATAATGGTTGCAATTTCGATGGCCGATGGCGCACACCTTTAATCCCATCACTCAGGAGGCAGAAGCAGGTGCTTCTTCCATGAGTTTGAGGCCAGCTTGATATACAAAGTGAGTTTCATGAGAAGCTTCAAAGCTACAGAGAAACCCTGTCTCGAAAAAACTAAAAAGACAACAACAAAACCCCAACTGGTTATGAGGCACCATTTCAGGGCTAAGAATCAAACCCAGGTCCACTGGAGAGGGCAGCCAGTGCTCTTAATTTCTAAGCAATCTCTCTCGCCCCTTGAAATTTTTTAAAGGTGAGATTTTTTTATTTTTTTGGTAATTTATTTTTTAATGGGTAATGGGGTTCAAATTCAGGTGCTCATAATTTCAAGAGCCTCACTTTACTGAGTCTTCTTTCTCCAGCCTTTGTTTTTACTTTTGAGAAACTTGGTTATACTATATCTCAAGTTAGCCTTGAGTTTGCTATAGTTCAGGTTGGCCTCGTTCTAGTGATCTTCCTTTCAGCCTCCTGGGTACTAGAATTTATAGGTATGTACTGCTTGTACTGCTATGTCTAGCCTCCATGTTTTATTTTGCACATGTTTGTCTAAGGATGATTTTGAATTCTGATCTGCTGTGTCCACTTTCCTTTTGTGCACTAGTCTTTCTAGTTTATGTGGTCCTGGGATCAAACTCAGGGTTTCCTGTATGCTGGGCAAGCACACTGCTGACTGAGCTGTATCTATCTCATTGCATTGTTCAGTGTGGTCTCACTAATAGTAGGCTGGTATAACTTTGTAGAGCAGCCCATTTTCTTAGGACTTAACAACAATGCAAAAATTTGACTTGTAATGCCTCTTTCTCAATCCTTCACTTTCTTCTACCCAGGGGCCTCTTTATTATTGATGATAAAGGTATCCTTCGACAGATCACTGTAAATGATCTTCCTGTTGGCCGCTCTGTGGACGAGACTCTGAGACTAGTTCAGGCCTTCCAGTTCACTGACAAACATGGTGAAGGTAAGTCATCTGCCCGCTAATAAGATAGCAGTATGGTAGGGTGCAAAGGCTATTGGGTAAAAGGGCAATTGTGTTTTTGCAAGAAATGAAATCTGGATTAGAGCCAGGCGGTGGTGGTGCATGCCTTTAATCCCAGCACTCAGGAGGCAGAGGCAGGCGGATCTCTGTGAGTTCCAGGCCAGCCTGGTCTACAAGAGCTAGTTCCAGGACAGGAACCAAAAGCCACAGAGAAACCCTGTCTCGAAAAATACCCCCCCCTCCCAAAATCTGGATTAGAGTGGTCCGATGGGGTAGGGTAATAGACAAACCTGGAGAAAAAAAAATGCTTTTTGTTCAATTTTCATATTCTCCACCTCTGATCTGCTGCTAATTTGGAATCAATGACTGATGCAGATTTGAGGAGAATCTCACTGCTTAGGTTTTTCGAGACAGGGTTTCTCTGTAGCTTTGAAGCCTGTCCTGGAAAAAGCTCTTGTAGACCAGGCTGGCCTCGAACTCACAGAGATCCACCTGCCTCTGCCTCCCGAGTGCTGGGATTAAAGGCGTGCACCACACCGCCCGGCTGATCTCACTGTTAATACCTGCACTCAGCAGACAAGTGGATCTCTGTAAGTTTGGTACCAGCCTGGTCTACCTAGTGAATTACAGGTAGAGCCCTGTGTCAGAGAGAAAGGGAATTTTTTGTTTGTTTTTTGAGACAGGGATTTTTCCAGACTTTTTAAAAAAAGATGCATTGTTTATTAAAATTGTGTGTGAGTGGGTAATGCTCTGTCACCCACAAACAAGACTACCACAGAGCCAGTATCCAATGGAAACACACTGGGGTTTGATTACAAGTTAGCTAACAGCAGACCATAATCCTTCCCTCCAACAGAGCTGGTGGGGGAGAATGGCCCTAAGTCTTCAGGGTAAGGAGATTTTAAAGGAGAAAACCACAAGGCAGGGTAGCATCAAGCCTTGATGTTTCAGGATTGGATAGAAGATCAATTTTTGAATTGTAGGTTGGGGTATAGGGGAAATTTCAAAATAGCAGTTAATCAGATACCTACAAGGACATTTGAAGAAAACAGATATAAACAGATATTGTTTGGACACTCTGGTGGGGTCACGTGCTTTGATCAGGGCTGGCACAGTTTCTTGGGAATGTTTATGACTTTGCTGGGCTGTATTTAACCACCCCCCCTCCCCAAAAAAGTTGGGTCCCCTCTAAAATGGAGTTCAGCCTGGTGGTGGTGGCATACACCTTTAATCCCAGCACTCAGGAGGTAGAGGCAGGGGATCTCTGAGTTCGAGGCCAGCCTGGTCTACAAGAACTAGTTACAGGATAGACTCAAAGCTACAGAGAAACCCTGGCTCGAAAAACCTAAATAAATAAAAAAAAGAGTAAATAAAATGGAATTTATTCTGCTGCTTCAGTATGAGCATCTAGAGGGTGTCAAGCTTTTTTAAGTTTGCTTTTCTGTTTTTGTTGTTGTTTTTTGAGGCAGGCATTCTCTGTGTAACAGTGCTGGCTTTCCTAGAACTCACTTTGTAGACCAGGCTGGCTTGAGATCTGCTTGCCTCTGGAATTAATGTGCCACCACCAGCCAGCTTCTAATGTATTTTGAGACAGTTTCACTCTCATCAAGGCTAGCCTGGAATTTGGCCTAGACTGGTCTCCATTGTGGCAGTTACTTGAGGGCTGGGATTAATAGGCATGAGTCATTCTTTTCTTAAATATATTTTTCTTTTTTTTCTTTTTTTAAAAGATTTATTTATTATGTACATAGTGTTCAGCCTCCATGTATGCCTGCAGGCCAAAAGAGGGCACCAGATCTCATTACAGATGGTTATAAGCCACCATGTGATTGCTGGAAATTGAACTCAGGACCTCTGGAAGAGCAATCAATCAGTGGTCTTAACCTCTGAGATATCTCTCTAGCCCCTGGCATGAGTCATTCTTAGCTTTGTATTTGGTTTGGTTTTTTGATTATTTGGAAATATCACATCATGCACTCCAGTCCAACCTGAAAAAAAAAAAAAAGGAAAAAATAAAACCAGTCAAGTTCATTTTGTATTGTCCATATACTCATTGGAGCATGCTCAAACCCCTGGTGGCCTGCCCTACCACCGCCCTCCATGAAAGGAAAAGTGTATCTTCTTCCCATCTGCACACCTGCCAGAAGCCATGTACTGTGGAGAACCATGTGGCAGCTGGTGAGGGATGGTGCCAACTCCTGTGCCCGTGCCCACTAGGGGGCTACCTTGTCTGGAATGTACTATGTAGACCAGGTGGTCCTTAAGTTCCAGAGATCTGCTGCTGCCTCTGCTTTTTCAATGTTGGAATAAAGGGATGTGCCATGAAAATTTGTAGTCTAGTCTGGCCTTGAATTTATAATCCTCCTGTCTCCGTTTCTTCAGCGTATCTACCAGTGTGTGCCACCAATATGACAGAGATAGGAGATATATACTACTGAGCAGGTTAATAATTAATCATAACTTTCTCTTGCAGTGTGCCCAGCCGGCTGGAAACCTGGCAGTGATACCATCAAGCCTGATGTCCAAAAGAGCAAAGAATATTTCTCTAAGCAGAAGTGAGCACTGAACCATTTTTCTGCCAGACTCCATTGGGCAGCCAGAAGAAAATCTCTTGTACTCTATTCATGCTTAAAAACAAAACTTGGTGTCATCCAAGACATGCCTTTCCTACAGTGCTGGGGGTGGGGGTTGGCCTTTCTTCCACTGTTGGGAATGGCCTGAGCTGTGTTGTGGGTAGACTATATGATATACCTGTTGCAGAAATCAGCCTGTTCTTTTTGTAGTATCTATTAAACTTGAAAATGTGAGGACGTGGTGAGCTTCATTTAAGAGGAATTTATTTTTTTTTTATGTGTAGGTGAACATACATGTGTGTGAGAATATGGAAGCCAAAGGTTGCTGTTTAACTTGGGATTTATTTTTTTTCTCTCTCTCTCTCTCTTTTTTGTTTGTTTGTTTGTTTTTCCAAGAAGGGTTTCTCTGTGTAACAGTCCTAGCTGTCCTGGAACTAGCTCGAACCCATAGAGATCCACCTACATCTCTCTCCAGAGTGCTGTAATTAAAGGCCTTGTGGTTCCACCGGCTGGCCTGTTTCTGTTTCTTTTAAAGAATTTATGTGGATGAATGTTTTCCCTGCATATGCACTATGTTGGATCCCTTGGAACTTGGGTTATGGATTGTTTTGAGCCATGCTGGGTACTGGGAATTGAACCTGTATCATTTACACCAGTAAGTGCTGTTGAGTCATTTCTTAAGTCCCTTACTCTTAGAGGCAGAATCTCTGATTGATCTGGAACTTGACAGGTGGGTGTGACTAGCAAGCTCTCAAGATCTGCTTCTCCAGGGCAGGTTTCATTTATCTATCTATCAATCTATCTATTTTTGAGGCAGGGTTTCTCTGTGGCTTTGGAGCCTGTCCTGGAACTAGCTCTGTAGACAAGGCCGGTCTCGAACTCACAGAGATCCACCTGCCTCTGCCTCCTGAGTGCTGGGATTAAAGGCATGCACCACCATCGCCCAGCCAGGGCAGGTTTTATAAGCATGGTCTATCAGGCCTAACTTCTTTAATAGAGGCTCCATGAACCTAATTTATTTCCTCACAAGAGCACTTTGTGGCTGAGCCATCTCCATAGCTCCCATTATGCATAAAAAATTAGGTTTAAGAGCTGCCTCAAGGCAGGAGGTGTAGCTCTTGGTAGAGTGCTTGCCTGGTGTCTGCTTTGCTTCTTCTTTGTGATTGAAAACAACTTGGGGTAAGTGAATTTAAAACAGCCCAGGACCAGCTGCTGCCTAGGAATGGTACTGTGTACAGTGGACTGGGCCCCTCTAAGTCAATGAGCCTCCCCACCTTAAATACCACAAAATCCTCAGTTTGTTTTTTTTTTTTTTCCCAGAGGACAAAGTTTACTGTAGAGTTGACAGAACTGAACAGTTTGCATGGTGTGCACAAAGCCCCTGTGTTCTAAGCCTGCTGCCACATAAACAGTGTGGGATACACCTGTAATCCCAGCACCAGAGAAGTGAAGGCAAAAGAAAGCATCGGTTGTATGGAGAGAACTCCACTCTGCACTGCCCAGAACTCCAGCATGGCTAAGATTTTCTGAACAGCTGATTCGATGATTTTACTATTGGGCTCTTGTTCTGTACCCTTGGTGGCTACAGGGTTAGTCAGCTCATTTGTGACCAAGTGTAAAACACACTGTGAACAGAACAGTGCAAGCACGTGGTGTGAGTCCAGTCTCCAACAACCACCTAAAAGTGCCAGGACCAAAGCTGTGTGTTTGTTATCTAAATGCAGGGGAGACAGGTAGATTGCTGGTTAGCAAACCTCAAATAAGCATCAAGTTCAGGGGGACTATCTCAACATACAGCACATGGCTCCCAACTGCCTCTAAATTCCAGCCTCAAGAAGACTAAGACATGCTTCTGGCCTACACACAAATGCAGTCTTGCCTTGCAGCCTAGATTGGCTTTAATCTTGCACTAATCTCAGAATTCTGGGAGTAAAGAACTGATAGACATGACCATCTCTTTTTACTTTTATTTTTAGGATTTTATTTATTATGTATGCAGTGTTCTGCCTGCAGATAGACATGCAGGCCAGAAGAGGGTACCAGATCTCATTACAGATGGTTGTGAGTCACCATATGGTGGATGGGATTTGAACTCAGGACCTCTGGAAGAGCTCTTACCATTGAGCTAACTCTCCAGCCCTTGACCATTTCATTTTTCTTCCTCTTAAATCATATGTTCATAGGGAGAGGGGTACATCAGTGTATATGGGGTCAGAGTACAGCTTTCAGGAGTCAGTTCTCTCCTTCCATGAGGACGGATGGCAGGCTTGATGGTAAGTTTCTTTAAGCCTTTAGTAATAACATCACTACTATAGGTCCTACAGTTTCAAAGTCATTTATTTAAATAATTACTTGGCTTAGCCCTATGTAGTGGGGACCATTTAAAGGGTGTGTGTATACCCCTAGGATCCTCTTAAATCAGCAATTCTCTGCCTGTGGGTCAAAACCCCCTTAGGAGTTGGAGGAGACTTCACAGGGGATAGCCTAAGACCACTGGGAAAACATTTACATTTTGATTCAAATCAAAATCACTTATCTCAATAACAATGAAAGTGATTTTATTGTTAGGGGTTACCACAACATGAGGAACTGCATTAGGAAGATTGAGAACCACACCTCTAAATAGTATCTTGCAGTATTACACAAAAATACAACAGGCATGAGTCCAATATTTGAAGGCAGCTGCTGATTTTAAGTCTGTCTTGAATGTTTGTCTTGACCAATGTAAATTGAGTCTTGACTCTGTTTTAGAGCCTTAGGAAATAGTCAAAATAAATGTGTTTCTTTCACACATCTTTAATCCCAACACTCCGGAGGCAGAGGCTAGCCTGGTCTACAGAGTGAGTTCCAGGACAGCCATAGCCACACAGAAAAACCTTGCTTTGAAAAACTAAAAAAAAAAAGTGGTTTTTCAAAAAAATTTATCCCCAAATAATCTACCAAAGTGGGAGGCCACAGGGGAAAGGTATCCAGGGCCAGGAGAGAGGTGGTGAGACACTGGGGCTAAGCCAGCTTCCTGCTCAGCTGGAATTCTCAGATGTAGTGCTAGGGTGTTCTGAGGGCGGGGCTAAGCCTAATAGGGCCAAATGTTGTGCAGTGGGGTGGAAAAGTAGATCTTCTGCTCTTTGAGTACCTTTCTTCTGCAGGAGTCACGGCATCCCGGTAGTCCAGTCACGCCAATGGAAATTGAAGCCTTCAAGCAGAGTGATGCGGCTAGCTCTTGTAGGCACACAATCAGTGGACTTTCTGGGTGGCAAATTTGGCACTTCAATCCCTGGCAGCAACATTACCCCTCAGATAGCAAACCAGCCCAAATCGGGGGTGTATGCACACACCTGCTATGTACTGGGGAGAAGGGAAAAGCAAGGCAGAGTTACAGAGGCCATTTTGACACTAAGTCCAACTATCATTATTGAAGCTTTTTTTCCCTTCAATTTATTTTTATGTGCAAGCTGTACCAACAGAGGCCTTAAACTCACAGGGATCTGCCTGCCTCTGCCTCCCGAGTGCTAGGAGTGCCATCACCGCCTGGCTCTTTTTCTGATTTTTAAGAAATTATTACTGTGCATATATGAATGTACCTATGGGGCTCAGAGGACAGTTTCATTGATTTGGCTCTTTCTCCTTTACATGGGTTCCAGGGGTCAACTCAGGTTGGTATGCTGGTGTGGCACACAGTGCCTTTACCCCCACCTCACTGTTCTGTCCTTCCCTTCACCACCTACTCAGAAACATTCTAAGTGTTTCTTAGGAATTCTAAGGAATGTTTCTTAGGAATTCTAAGGAATAAGGAAGGGCTCTCTTGAGCCCTGCCTTGCATTACTCCGCCCCTGGATTTTCCAGAGACAGCCAGGAAACACAGTTTTAGGAACAAAGCAGGCAAGCTGGGCAGTGGTTTCGTATGCCCAGCTCTTGGGAGGCAAAGGCTGGAGTTTTTTGTGACTTTGAGATCAACCTGTTCTACACAGTTCTAGAATAGCCAGGTTATTTATCACACAGATAAATCCCCTCCCCAAACAAACAAATATAACAGATCCTGTCAGGTTTCGCTGCCTGTGCTTTAAATCCCAGTACTACTAGGGCAAAAGTATCTCAAGGAGTTCAAGGCCAGCCTACACAGTGAGTTCTAAGACAGCCTCAAGTGTAGAGACCTTGTTCAAAAACAAAAATAGAGCAGGAAGAGGTGAGGTGACTCAGTGAGGGAAGGTGTTCGCAGCCAAGCCTGACAACATTGGTTCATCGGGACCCACATGGTGGAAGGAGAGACCTGACTCTAGCAGTTGTCCTTTGGTCTCCATAAGGGCATGCACAACACAGTAAAAAAAAAAAAAAAAAAAAAAAAGATTTATTTATTTAGTTAGTTTTTTTTGAGATAGGGTTTCTCTGTAGTTTGGAGCCTGTCCTGGAGCTCACTTTGTCTACCAGGCTGGACTCAAACTCACAGAGATCTCCCTGCATCTGTGTCCCTAGTGCTGGGATTAAAGGCGTGTGCCCCCAATTGCCCGACTTATTTTTTTTTTAATGTATACAGTGTTCTGCTCCCATGTATCCCTGCAGGCCAGAAGAGGGCACCAGATCTCATTAGGGATGGTTGTGAGCCACCATACAGTTGCTGGGAATTGAACTCAGAACCTCTGGAAGAGCAGCAGTCAGTGCTCTTAACTGCTAAACCATTTCTCCAGAGAGATTTTTTTGTTTTGTTTTGTTTTGTTAGGAGACAAGCTCTCTCTCTGTAGCTTTGGTGCCTGTCCTGGAAGTAGCTATTGTACAACAGGCTGGCCTCGAACTCAAAGAAATCTGCCTGCCTCTGCCTTGTGAGTGCTAGGATTAAAGAGTGCATCACCACCACCCGGGTACAAGAGAGATTTTTAAAATATTAAAAGGGCCCAGGCTTTTGGACTGTGATGTCCTCAGGTAAACCAGAAAGCAGGCGGCCTATTTGTCAGGACCACAGATACTTTGTCCTGGGTTATGCATCAATGTCAGGAAAGGAAGGTGATGTAATGTGGAACCTCACAGGGATACTTGGAGGGGCTTTTACTATTTTCTCTCAGTGCCCACTCATTCATTCACATGGATTCTCTAACCTTGGTCCCCCACGGGTCAGCATCCACATCTTGTCGTTGGTAGTAGTAAGCAGCCCCGGCCACATGGGCTGCAGTCTGGGCTAGAATCTTAGGGCGGCGGTTGGGGTGGACCTCATAGTCAGCAATGACTTCTATTTGCAGTTCTGGAAACTTCTGGAACAGAATAAGGGGCTCCTGTTAGCATGATGGGAGTCACGACTGTTCCACGAAGGCCTAAGATGTGTATTAACATGGCCCTGGCTCATAAGCCCATGGTTTGGTTTTTTGAGACATGGTCAGAATGGCCTTGAACTTGCTACACACTGCAAAGACGATAATCTTGCCTTTACCTCCCTACTGCTGGGACTCTCCATTAAAAGCCATATTTCAAGGGAAAACATAACTTTAACCTCTATGAAAAAAGAAGTCAGGCCTGACAGACCT